TCAAGCGTGACGTCATCCATGTTGTGAGGTTGGTTAGAGTGGACTGTAGTCCTTACCGTTATGCTAGTATCCAGAGATACCGCTTTGAAGTCCCACCAATAACCTACTGAAATCTTTATCCCATGCACATCTGCTTTTGGCTGTGCAATCTACTTTTCTTCTGAGAGATCCTGCGAGGAACATGTGCAAGATGTACGCAAGGACCCCACCACTCTCTACCAACCACAAGATCTCACAAATGTTCCTCCAGTGTGTACAAGGAAAAAACTCAGTCACGGTCATTCGGTATGACTTGTCAGAGGGGTTCAACTCATGAGGCATCCTTCATAAAAAATTTTTCCGATAACCGAGACTGCGGAGAAGCATGGCAGTTGTCAGTTAGGTGGAGCCTAGAGAGGTTGCCAACTTACTGGTGGTTACGTTCGGCTGCGCCTCAAGAAGCTTGAGTAAAGGGCCGTCATTCTGTGCTGGTGGCCGACCTATACATTGCCTACTTCCGAGTTGAATAAGTCCAGCCTGGAAGCGCTGATGCAAAAGGAACTCTCTGCTATGGCAAGCGATATCCTTCCTCAAGACAACGTAAGTGTTAGCTTCCTCGACTATGGCGGAGTTGCCCTACAGGAACTCATAATATGGGATAGGTCGAGAAGTACCTCGATCTCTGAGGTATTTTTAAGCTTTGAAAACTTCCACGGAGCCATGATATACCCATTTTCAGAAACCCCAGGAGACAGTCTCCACTAATCAGAGATAAAAACATTCAAAATGATTTTTGGTCTTTTTCTAGAATAGTTCAATCAAAGTGTCGCAGGACTTTTCGAACAACCTAATAAATTGATGTAGTGTAAATGAAACTACCCCATAGCAGAAAGTGAAGTTAGTCTGAGTATGACAGGGGAACCATTAGTTGCGAAGGTTGCCCTTCCTAAAGCTCGTCACAGGTTCATATTTCTATGTCTCTTCGATCTGAATTGAAGACGAGTACAAGTCGCGCGTTACATAGCACGGTTTGACAGCGCTCCTGTTCTTCAAGTTTTATTCATATTAAGCGGAAGAGATGCACTGAAATCCTTCTGGGGTTTCTGGATGGGAGTGTGGCATGTAATCGACAGACTTTCTTGTTGCAGCTATAGTAAACCCTCGGATCAAATCCGCGTCGAGTGATTTTTGATATAGTAGGCTCAAAATACATATTGTACTCATTAGGAAGAGGAAAATTTCTATTTTTCAAGTTCGTCTAGTTCTGCGGTCTAAGTTATGTTTGAACCAACCCATGTCCATGAAAACTCAAAAATTCGCTTCTACCGAATATTCCTCGCGTTATCCAAGGACGGAGGCAGTATGAACAGTTCTTTCTGTAGCGGGTCATACCAGTGATTTCGCAGCAATGCGTAGCTCCTCCTCTTAAAAGAGACATGAGCCTAGGTTGCGGATCGCAAGTTACAGTTGGCGCAACAGCCGCAGCTGTGAATTCGCTTTAGGCGTGGATTACGGTAGCAGCAGCGAGTACGCAATTGCACGGCGTGATTGGTGGTATTTATAAACAACATCGGAAAGCATTATAAACATATCGATTTGAAGAAATGCAGAAATGCGGAAACTGCAGAAGTGCGGAAAGTGCAGAAATGACGAAAAGCATTACATACGTATCGATTTGAAGAAATGCAGAAATGCCGAAACTGCAGAAGTGCGGAATCTGCAGAAATGCGAAAGTGAAGAAATGCGGAAACTGCAAATGCGGAAAGTGCAGAAGTGCGGAATCTGCAGAAATGCGAAGTGAAGAAATGCGGAAACTGCAAAGTTCGGAAAGTGCGGAAGTGCGGAATCTGCAGAAATGCGAAGTGAAGAAATGCGGAAACTGCAAAGTTCGGAAAGTGCG